CACTCTCCTCGGCCGAGGAGCGGTCTCCCAGGGTCCGGCCAGGCCCCCTGCGTCTGCTGCTGCCCTGCCCCCCAGTCCTCTGTGACCCCAGACCCAGCACAGTGACCCCAAGCGCGGTTCGTATTGTCGCCAGCCGCCGGGAGGCGTTCCAGGCGGGCCCCCGGGCCCAGGGCCAGGCGCTTTGCTGACTGCTGGATGTCGCCCGCGCGCCTCCGTTTGGCGCTTGGTGCGCCGGAGCCCCTGCGGCCCTGCCGGCGGCCTGGTGGGAGCTTTCAGTGTAACCTGCACCTTTCTCATTATGAGTAAAACTGAACATGCTTTCATTGTTTAAGGAGTGCGCACACAGCACACATACATATCATATATATGTGCCAGTGTGCACACATGTTTGTGGTGTGTGCACATGTGGCAGGCGCCTTGTGTGCACGTGTGTGCGTGCGTGTGTACATGTGTGCACTGCCTGCCGCACCTCCTCCTCACCTTCCGTGACACCTGCGAGCTGCTCCCCGTGTTCCTAGGTCCGTGACATTGCGCACTCTGCCCCCGCCGGCCTGTGCTGCTGCTGCCAGGCTGTGTCCCGCCCTCTTTCCTGGCGCCTTGATTCTGAGCCAGGGTAAGGAACAGTTCACCGCATGGGCTTCTGCCTTGTAGGGTTTCTCTTCCATACTCATGTCCCTGCTTCATGAGGATTTCTGCAGGTGCGCAGCATAAGGTGAGTCTACCTGGATGCTTTTCCAGGTAACGGTGTGGCCCCTGCACCGGTCGTCAGAAGGTCTGCCTTCTGCCCGGGGCGTCCATTCCTGTCTCTTCGTGGGCTGATCCCACTGCTCTCACCGTAAGTTTAGACCTGAGAAAGCAGGTCTTTCGCTTTCTCTTCACGGTTCTGGGCTGTTACTTGCTCATTTTTCCATGTGAACTTCATAGGTCAGATGTGTGGGGTTTTGTTGGGATCCTGTTAGATTTATAAAGTAACCCAGGAAGAGCTGACACCTCAGTGGTGTCGAGTCATCCTAACCAGGGTGCGTGTTCCCGTCAGCCAGGCCCACACCAGCTCTCTTGCGGGTTTGCTCATTTCTCGATAAATTACGCCTCAGGCATTTGATCTCCGCTGTTCTGCTGTAGACGGAACACTCTCCACACTTTCTGCCAGCTGGTTAATGTTAGACTCTGACAGCCCTCTTAAGTTTACATCTGCTCCTTGCCTGGATTTGCTTGTTGCTGTAGTACTTTCCCAGGAAACCTACTGGGTCTTCCAGGCTCCTGCATCACTGCAGACTTCCTGGGCGGTGTTCCCTCGGGTGTGCGACCTTGTCTGGCATCCCTGCCTTGGCCTGGACAGGTGGCTCCACCTCCCGCCCCACCTAGGACAGGACTCCAGGGTGCCAGGCACAGGTTGTGAGTTCAGAGGGCTGGGGAGCTGGCTGGTCCTGGATGGGGCACACTGGGAGGCGGCAGGTTGGGGGCCTCTGTCATTACAGCCAGGGAACCGGCGTGGTGATGTCCTGTCCCCTCTAGAGGACTGATCAGGTATTCTCTTTGCTGTACCCTAACCTGCTTGCTGGTAGCCTGGTGCAGCCCACCCACTGCCTGGCCTGGCCTGGCCCCAGCCAGGGGCACCGACCCTGCCTGGGAGGGACCCTGAGGTATGGGGACTCATAGGGTCTGCAGTGTGGCAGATATAGGCACAACTGCTCAGGGATGCCCTGTGCCAGGCTGAGGTGGGCTGGGGGCACGGTGTTGTGGGACCCTGGAGTGTGAAGCCCAGAAAGGGCTTCTAAGGGGTGATGTCCAGCAGCTCCTTGAAGTCAGAGGCTGAGTGAGTGAGGGGGGAGCAGAGATGAAGGGCCTCAGGGGGACTGCCTCTTTCTGGAATAGTGATGTAGAGAGCCAGAGCCCTCCATCTGCCCAGCAACAGCAGCGCCTCCCTCCCCTCCCCCATGACTTTGTGAGCAGCACAGAACCCAGGCCTTTCTTTGAGCTTCCATCATTATTTAATTATAATATAATAGAAAAGGGAAAGGGCCTCTCACATGTATGTGGAGCCCACGAGGGCACCTGCTTCTGAGCCCCCATGCCCAGGTGTCCACAGATCACCCTGCCAGGCAGCCAGTGCTCTGTGTGTGGTGGGCGAGGAGTGGCAGGCCTGGCTGGAGGGCGCCCACCCAGCATCCCAGGCAGGAGCCTCCAAGGCGCCTTTAAATAGCACCATGACAGGGTGCCAAGGAGGAAGCCACTTCTGCACGGCCAGGAGCTCTTTCCAGGCCTGGGGAGAATCAGGCTCTTGCATGTCCCCCTGTGTCCTTCAGGTGTGAGATGGATTTCCTTGTTATGGAGGCACCTCACCTGGCGCCCCAGCAGCATCTCCAGCCAGGACCCCCTTGCCCCAGTCCAGGCACCAGTCTCCCCAAGAGGCAGCGGGTCACAGTGACTCCCAAAGCCCCCAGACACCCAGGGAGGGTGTATAGGAGGCACAGAGCAGCAGTTCAGGACAGTGACCTCGCCAGCTCAGCGCGTCTGTGCCTGGAGTCCTGGGTGAGTCTCCTTTCCTCACCCAGATGGGACAGTGGTCTCTCCCGTTCCCAGATCCCTCGAGGATTAAAAGGAGAGCCAGGCAGGGCTCACAGGGGTGTGACCCTCACAGGGTTCAGCCCCGGGTGGCCACCCTACTATTGCAGGGCCTGAAGGTCATGGCGGCCGAGGAGCTATCAGAGGGGCCAAGAGCAGTGTCCATCCTCGTGTCTCACAGGCCAGGGCCCCTGTGGGCTGTTGGCAGAGGCCCTGCGGCTGGGGGAGCCTGGTTTTCCAGGGAAGACAATGGTGGCGTACTCCGTCTGTTCCGGGACACAAGGGGCAGGGGGCTCCGGGGTCTTCTCCCGCCACTGGAAGTCCAGCTCCCCATAGTCCACGGAGAAAACAGGCCCTGGGGAGGGGCCCTCCTTCTTAGCGGAGAGGGAGAAAGGAGTCAGCACTCTCTGAGTGGCTGGTGAAAAACACAGATGCACGCACACGCACACACAAGTGTGCACATACACACATACACAGTGGGGCAGGGCCTGAGCCCCATAACCCGTCATGGTTGGGGATGGGTGTGGCCACTCCTGAGGCCACCCACCCCTGGGGCAGAGTATCCTGTCCCCCCTCCTTCCCTGCAGTGCCCCCAGCACCATTGCCAGAAGGGGAAGGAAACTCACCAGAGGCTGGTTCTCACTCCAGCAGGCACAGGCCCCTGCAGAGAAACACATGGAGGTCAGGGAGCCCAGGAGCCCTACGCAGGGGTGGGTCTCAGGGGGGTCTCAGCAGAGAGTGGGGTTGGGAAGGCCTCTGGCCATGGGAAGGGCCTTAAGTCTTCAGGCCTGGGTGGCCAAGCATCCTCCCTGCCTGCCCCCACCCCCTGTGCAACCACCTGAGCCCCGGCTCATCTCCAAGGGTCTTGTCTGGACGTGAGTTATATGGGTACACATCCATATAGGACCTCCTGGCTTCCAGGCCTAGGGTTCCTGCTGGTTACAAACCTGGCAGAGCCTGGCGCCCACTGCAGGGCACCACACCCACCCTGGGTCCCCAGCTGGCGCCATAAAGCACACAGCAGACCCATAGTCAGTGGTGCTGTGGCAGCATCTCCCTGGTCCGTGCCCCACAGGAACGCCACATGTATCTCCACTAGTGTCAGCGCCTGGGGCACACAGCTCAAAAATATCTGAAGGAGAGAAATGTGATCCCTGGAGAGATGAACCCCACAGGGCCTGTCCTGGCAGGTTAGAGCAGCCACTGCCCCGAACTGCTCAGGGGAAGGGTGGGGAAGCGGGTGCTTGCCCCTGTCCAGGCCCTCGTGTGGCCTCCTGCTGTTGTCACATTACCCCTAGGTGCCTGCCCTGGGAGAGCATGACCAGAGCCTCTGGTGTGCAGAGCCTGCAGAGGAACTGACCTAACCCTGGGCTGGGTCCCCTCTGGGTAGCGGTCCCTTTTCTTAGCCCCAAAGATGTCCACCTATCATCAGAGTGACTGAGGACCAGCTGCCTGGGACCACCTGTCAGGGTATGTGAATGGAATGAGACACCCACAGCCTTCTTTCTGGTGGTAAGAGGTGGCTGTGGCTGTCATCACAGGCCCCAGTGGCTGCTAGAAGCATGGTCACAGTGTGTTGCAGCCTAAGGTGCAGCCTGAGGCTTGGGGGCGGCCTTGGGCAGCCACACAGCTACCTCAGCCTTGGGGGGACTCCCCTTGCCTCCTGTGTGACCTTGACAGCTGCCTTTACCTCAGACCCTCCTGGGAGCATGGCCCGGGTTTCCCAGGAGAGGCCTCTGGCAGTGCCTCGGGCTCTGCCTGGCTGGGACAGCAGTGGGGGCTGGCTGGGGCATTACCTCGAGTGGCCAGGACCCAGGTCAGCAGCAGAAGCAGCAGGACGCCCACCAGGACACTTGTGACACCGATGACCAGGCCCTGTAGGTGACCTACCGGCCTGGGCAGGGGGCTGGGGCTCTTAGTGGGCAGTTCCAGGACTCTCTCTGGAGACACAGAGGACAGAGACTCAGGAATGGGGACACAGAGTCCCCTGCCCCTCCCCCAGGACAAGTGGGTCTGGGGTGTTTGTGAGCACAGAGGCCTGTAGCCATTGGTCATTGTGGTCCTGGGCATGAGACAGAGTCCTGGAGTGAAGCCTGGCGAATCCCTGCCCGCTATGCCTCACCTTCCCTGCCCTGCTCACCCCTGCCCCCTTCTTCACCCTTGTCCTCAGATCTTGCCCCTGCACCTGTCACCGTGAGCTCTGCGTGGGGGCTCTCGTGGATCTGTGTCTCGGGGGGCAGGTAGATGGCCCCACAGAGGTAGATGCCACTGTCGTTGCGCTGGGTGGTGAGGACACTCATTTCGAAGTCCCGCCCGTTGGGGAGCCGAGTTACGTGGAAGCGCTGGTCCCTGTGGGCCTGCTTGCTGTCCTCAGGGAAGGCAGCCAGCTTGTCTGTCTGGTTGCTGGGGCTCATACGGTACCAGTTGAGCACGAAGCGTTCAGACGTGTTGGAGAAGCTGCAGGTGAAGGTGGCAGTCTCCCCTTCAGCCACAGTGAGCTGGGGCGGGTTGAAGGTGAGAGAACTCCAGGGCTTGTCGGGGGTTTCTGGGGGGTGGTGGAGAGAGAACAGCGGGCCTTGAGGAAGGGGTGTATGACAGCCCACCGAGACCCCTCTCCCATTTTCCCACATGGGTCTGTCAGATAGGAAGGTTCTGGGAGGCCCAGCTCATGCTGTAGTCCCCTCTGCAGAGCCTCTGCCATGGAGCCTTGCAGCTCCTCCTAGCACACTCCCAGGGACGGGGAGCTCACCTCTCACCAGGTGATACCATGGTGGGATCTTGTCCATTGATTGTGCCCAGAGACCTGGGGCTGGGCTGCCTCTGGCTCTGACCCCTGCCCTTGCTCCCCCATTTCTTCCCCAAGTGGTGGTTTAGTGCCCCCCTCACAAATGCCCCAGGAAGGCCCCCTCTGGACAGCGCCACCTGAGGTCACTGTCCCACCCCTTCCCCAAATCCATGCCTCCACCTGGGTCAACCCTGCCATGGCCTCCAAGCAGAACCCCCTCTCATGGCCGAGGCAGCCCAAGAAGCTCCCCTGGGAGCCCACACAGTGCATGGAGCCCCCTCCCCTTCCTGCACGGGTCCCTCTAGCAGGCCTAGCCCAGTGGACACTGCTAATGGGTCCGGGGACCCTGTCCTGGCCCTGTGTGGAGGGGGGTGCTGTTTCTCTTCAGTTTTGGATCTCATTGGCCCCACCCCCAACCTTAATTTGTGACCAATTGAGTCACTTGTCTGTTGGCTCTTTGTGGCGCCTCTCGGGGAATCTGACCTTGACGAGGCGGGTCTCTGTCCAGCTGCCCCCGTGAGTCTCACTCATTGCAAAGGGACAGGGTGCCTTCACCTTTTCTGCTGTGGGCTCAGAGAGGATGTCCCCGTTGTGGGGTCGCCAGTGGGTGCCCCAAGAAGGACCAACACATTTGTGATCTTCCATGACCAAACATCAGAGACACCCAGGGGTGGGCAGCTGCACACCCAGCCTGGAGTCTTCCAGAGTGCCAGGGCTGGCAACAAGCACAATTAGACGCAATACAGACTGAAAGCTTCTGCACAGCAAAGAAATGTCAACAAAGTGAAAAGACAGCCTACCGAATGGGAGAAAATATTTGTAAATCACATATCTGATAAGGAGTTAAAATCCAAAATGTATGAAGAACCTATATAACTCAAAAACAAAGAAAACAATCTGATTACCACATGAACAAAGCGCTTGAATAGGCATTTTTTTCAAGGGGGACATGCAACTTGCCCACAGACATATGAAAAGATGCTCGTCACCGCTAATCATCATTTGTTCAGTAAATCAACAAACAAGTGCTGTGAGGACATGGAGAGAGGGAGCCCTCAAGCACTGCTGGTGGGAATGTAAGTTGGTGCAGCCACTGTGGAAAACTGTGGAGTTTCCTCAAAAAATTAAACATAGAGCATATGGTCCAGCAATCCCATGTCTGGGTATTTATCTGAAGAAAACAAAACCACCAACAAAAAACACGTGCACCCTCACGCTCACTGTGGCAGCATTTGCAGAGCCAAGCCATGGGAGCACCTCAGTGCCCGCAGACACAGAGGGATAAAGAAGGTGTGTGCATACATACGACGGGGTGTTACTCAGCAATAAAAAAGAATAGAATCTACCATTTTTGACAACCTGGATAGATCTTGAGGGCATTATGCTAAGTGAAATAAGTCAAATACCACATAATGTCACTTATATGTGGATTCTAAAATGCAAACACAAAACAAAATGAAAAGTGAGGTGGTTGCCAGAGGTGGGGGTGGGTGGGTGAAGGGGGTCAAAAGATAGAAACTTCCAGCCTGGGCAGGCATTGCTCAGAGTGTCAGCCGAGAGATCTAAGGGTCGAGGGCCCGATTCCCGGTCACGGGCACGTACCTGGGTTGCAGGTTCGTCCCTGGCCTGGTTAATGTTTCTCTCTCTCCCCTTCCACTCTCTAAAAAATCAGTGGAAAAATATCCTTGGCTGAGGGTTAAAAAAAAAGATAAAAACTTCCAGTTATAAGATGAACGGTTCCTAGGAGTGTCGTGTACAGCACGGCAACTATACTTAATAGCACTGAACAGTCAGCCCTTCGCATCCATGGGTTCTGCATCCATGGACTTAACCAATCTCGGGTCAAAATATTCAAAAGAACCAAAAATCCCAGAAAATTCCAAGACACAAAACGTGAATTTGCCACATGTTGAGCATTTGCTGAATCCACGGGAAACAAGTGATGTGTGGGCGAACCCACTGATGTTATATGCAAATGCCACGTCGTTCAATATAAGGATGCTGAGCATCCTCGGATTTTAGTACAGAGTAATGTGTATAGTTATTTATTTAAATGTCATCTCCTCTCATAAGCTTTTGGCCAGAGCTAGCAAAATGTCTGTGGTGGGTACATTTGACCTCCAGATATGATTTTTCCATTTACCTCACATAGAACTTTTAAAAACCAAAACAAAACAGCCTAGAATTAGCACATAAAACGCAGAAGATGTCACATAAAAATTTGAATTTCTGACCTCTCCTTAAATGTCAGAAAATCTGCAACAATTTCCCACCTCTGGGGCCAAGTCGAAGCTGCCCCTTCCAGGAGAGCAGGCACCTGCCAGGACACCCAGTCCCCACCCAACAGTCTGCCCACCTCTGACTCCTTTCTCTGCCTCCGGAAATCTTGAGACTAGTTAGGAAAATGTGATCATGTCTTAGGTGTGAGTCAGTAAGTGCTCTCCAGGTGGTGGCTGCAAGGAAAGGAAAGAACACCAGAAATGTTCAAGATCTGATGATAGTCCTGTTCGACTGCGCAGGAATAGTGGTGTGACCCTAAGTGGCCACGGGAGTGATGACATCCTGGCAAGTATGGCTGCTGTGAGAGCTGGTTAAAAACCACGCGTTTCAAGTCCTGATCCAATTCTAGCCCTATACCACAGGTTTATTGTTCTTTGACGGTTAGAAAACTGGATCTCAGAGTTTACAATACATGACTTTTTTGTTCAATCTTAGTACATACAAGCAGGTTCAGAATTGCTGCCCCACATCTCGGTAGGAAACACCTTCACTAACCAAACTATAGTACATCTGCAATATAAGGGACTTGACCGGAATTCCAGGGCGTCCTGGAACCCATCCCCATGGACACTGAGGCACCACCACTGCACATTTGAAAGCAGCCAAGAGAGTGGATCTCAAAAGTTTTCATCACAAGAAAAAAAAATCTTGTTTGGTGATGGCCATTAATAGGCTCATGACTTCACAGTATGGACAAATACTGAATCGTTACGTTGTGCACCTGGGACAAATTCAGCGTTGTGCCAGTTATACCTCAATAGAAATATTCCATTAGGGTCCCATGTGTGAAATAAGATTGAGATTTGAATTAAAGGAAAAAGAACTCCAGGGACTGCAAAGACAGAGAGGCGGGGCCTGCGCTGGTCAGAGGGAGCTGAGGACCGTGATCTCCAAACAAGCAGGCAACGCTCAGCTTGGACACAGAGAACTGTTGTCCCGGGAGGAGGGGGCGTCTGCAGCGTGATCAGAGCAACAACCCTCTGTGGCTCAGCCCAAATCTCGGGAACATGCACAGATAGGACATGGGCCCAGGCTAACACTCTAAGTCCTAACTCAGCACCTCAGGGTGGCCTTACTTGGAAACAGGTGTTTGTGCATATAATTGTCCACAATGAGGTCGAGAGGGTGGCCCTCATTCAACATGACCGTGTCCTTATAAGAATGAGGGACATCTGGACAGACACACAGGAGAGACTATGTGAAGACAGAGGCAGCGATGGGGTGATTTACAAGCCAGGGGACCAGGGGACGAGAAGGACAGATGGCCACCACCAGGAGCTGAGAGCTCTGGGCTCGATTCTCCACCTGCCTCCCAATGGGCCAGCTCAGCCGCCTCCTGGATCCTGGCTTCCAGCCTCTGAGTTGTGAGACTGCCTGGTCTGTGGCATTTGTCACGGCTGCTGATATACACAGCAAATGTGCCAATATTATCAACTGGCACCTCTGGGTAAAGGGTGTTCACTGCTGGTTTTGTAACTATTCTTTATGTTTCAAATATTTTTCAAAACTGTAATTTGAAAAAATAAATAAAACAATGCGACTTAATTGTGTCACGGGTTGTGCTAGACAGTTTTTATAAATGATTTGATTTAATTCTCATGACCCTATAGGGAAGGCATTATTGTCCCCAAACTGCAGGTTCAAAGCTTTGGCTCAGCCCTAGCTGGTTTTGCTCAGTGGTAGAGCATCGGCTTTGCAGACTGAAGGGTCCCGGGTTTGATTCTGGCCAAAGGCATGGACCTCAGTTGCAGACTTGATCCCCGGCCCTGCTTGGGGTGGGTGCGGAAGGCAACCAGTCCATGTGTCGCTCTTGCATCAATGTTTCTCTCTCTCTCTCCCACTCTCTCTGAAAAGCAATGGAAAAAAATATCCTCAGGTGAGGATTAGAAAAAAAAAAAAATTTAAAAACCCTCGGCTCAGAGAGAGTAAGTGGCTCGAGGAAGGTCAGGAAGCTCCTCTGAGGCTCTCTTGTGGCTCCAGACTGTCATCTGTCCCTGTTACTCTCCCCCATCACTAGCACAGGGTGAGGTGGGTGCGGCCTACTGCTGGGTTTGGGATATTTCATAAAATGCAAGAAACACATGTACGTAAAGAGGGGGTTTTCCAATGGAATGACTAAAATAAGAAATACAGTGAATGAATTAGGAAGGAAGAAGACATGGAATAGAAGGTCCCCTGGGCCCAGAGCACCCGAGTCTGGATGGGAGCTTGAGGAGGACACCACATGGGACACGGCAGTGCTGTTGAGCCTGGGTCGCAGGTGGGGAAACTGAGGCACACTGAGTTTGAAAATCTCACCCAAGACACAGGCTAATGGCACCTGCAACTGGAGGGTCTGGCTGCGGAACCGTGTTTGCATTGCTCCCTGCTCTGGGAAGGGGTCCTGGCGGGGACTAGGCCATGGCACAGCCTCCTTGATGCCTCAGTTCCTCCTCCCAGGTAAAGGGCACCCCTTCTGCTCCCATGCCTGGAGTCCCCACAAGGCCCTCCACCAAGCACCTTTCAGCCACAGGTCCGTGGACCACTGACTCCAGCTTTGAGTTTCTCTGTTGACCTATGCCCAGGAGGAGAAGCTGGGCTGCCTGGTACCCCCATTGTCACCAAGCAGACCCTGCAGGGGCAGAGCAACCAAGAGCCCTCAGGCACCGGGACCCCAGGTGCCAGGGCACCCCCACCTCGTTTTGGTCCTTCCAGGTGTCCTCACCCCCCCATCCCAGAGAGGTCCAGAGGAAAGGCCCTTGGGCAGACGTGGGTGATCTACCTCCCCCCATTCCCCCGTGCAGTGCTGGCTGAGGATGGGATAGCCAGGAGGAGCCCCGTTCCCTGACCATCACACTTTGGCCACGGGCCTGCAGGGCTGTCCAGTGGACACTCCTACAGGGGTCTCAGAGCCAGGGCCCCCTCCCCAGAACCTGCTGTGGACGCTGTGGTCATACCCAGACTCTACACCCGGCAATCTCATCCAGAGACCTCAGGTGGGCTAGCCCCAGGCCCCCCAGGGGGTTGGGGGAACAGTCTTTACTTACAAGGTTACTTTGGATATAACTAGAGTAAGTCTCTGGGCCATACAGCCTGTCACCTCAGGAGCCAGTCAGCCCCCTGTGAGGCTGGTCCATCTCAGGAAAACACAAGTTGGGGCAGCTGGGCCCAGGTTTGAGGCTCTGACCAGCCCGGCCCAGTCATCCTACAGAGAGGGTACAGGCTCGCCATCCCGCTGGACGCAGAGAAAGAGCTGGCACACTCCTGCCTGCTCAGGGGACTTGCCACCAGGTGAGCCCAGAGAGGGCACTTCCCTTGCCCAAAGCCACACAGCACACTGCCACACAGTCCCCTCCCCACCTACCAGAGGCCGAGGGCGGGAGATCGTTCCCAGCCCTGACCCCGCCACCCAACTGGGACCCAGTGACCCACGTACCTAGGAGCCATCCTGGCCACCAGCCCAGCTGCAGCACTGCCCAGATGAGTGGCCATGGAGCCCACGGGGTCCCCATGCCCCAAGCACCGGTGCACTGTCGACCTCCTCTCCTCTGCTCTAGCAGAGGTGCCTGAAGGAAGGAAACTGTTTCCCTCAGGCTGAAGGGACCCGCCCCGCCCACTCTTCCTCCTCCACACGGGGCGGGGTGGGGGTGGGGGGTGGAGAGAGAAATACCGAGAGAGGGAGAGAGGGGAAGGGGGGGGAGAGGGAAGGGGTGTTTGGGTGCTTCTCTCCCCAAAACCCTCGGCTCAGAGAGGGTAAGTGGCTCGAGGAAGGTCAGGAAGCTTCTCTGAGGCTCTCATGTGACTCCAGGCTGTCATTTGTCCTGGTTACTCTCCCCCAGAGAGGGTAAGTGGCTTGAGGAAGGTCAGGAAGCTCCTCTGAGCTCTCGTGTGGCTCCAGACTGTCATTTGTCCTGGTTACTCTCCGCCGTCACTAGCACAGGGCAAGGTGGGTGCGGCCTACTGCTGGGTTTGGGATATTTCATAAAATGCAAGAAACACATGTACATAAAGAGGGGTTTTCCAAGGGAATGACTAAAATAAGAAATACAGTGAATGAATTAGGAAGGAAGAAGACATGGAATAGAAGGTCCCCTGGGCCCGGAGCACCCGAGTCTGGATGGGAGCTTGAGGAGGACACCACATGGGACACGGCAGTGCTGTTGAGCCTGGGTCGCAGGTGGGGAAACTGAGGCACACTGAGTTTGAAAATCTCACCCAAGACACAGGCTAATGGCACCTGCAACTGGAGGGTCTGGCTGCGGAACCGTGTTTGCATTGCTCCCTGCTCTGGGAAGGGGTCCTGGCGGGGACTAGGCCATGGCACAGCCTCCTTGATGCCTCAGTTCCTCCTCCCAGGTAAAGGGCACCCCTTCTGCTCCCATGCCTGGAGTCCCCACAAGGCCCTCCACCAAGCACCTTTCAGCCACAGGTCCGTGGACCACTGACTCCAGCTTTGAGTTTCTCTGTTGACCTATGCCCAGGAGGAGAAGCTGGGCTGCCTGGTACCCCCATTGTCACCAAGCAGACCCTGCAGGGGCAGAGCAACCAAGAGCCCTCAGGCACCGGGACCCCAGGTGCCAGGGCACCCCCACCTCGTTTTGGTCCTTCCAGGTGTCCTCACCCCCCCATCCCAGAGAGGTCCAGAGGAAAGGCCCTTGGGCAGACGTGGGTGATCTACCTCCCCCCATTCCCCCGTGCAGTGCTGGCTGAGGATGGGATAGCCAGGAGGAGCCCCGTTCCCTGACCATCACACTTTGGCCACGGGCCTGCAGGGCTGTCCAGTGGACACTCCTACAGGGGTCTCAGAGCCAGGGCCCCCTCCCCAGAACCTGCTGTGGACGCTGTGGTCATACCCAGACTCTACACCCGGCAATCTCATCCAGAGACCTCAGGTGGGCTAGCCCCAGGCCCCCCAGGGGGTTGGGGGAACAGTCTTTACTTACAAGGTTACTTTGGATATAACTAGAGTAAGTCTCTGGGCCATACAGCCTGTCACCTCAGGAGCCAGTCAGCCCCCTGTGAGGCTGGTCCATCTCAGGAAAACACAAGTTGGGGCAGCTGGGCCCAGGTTTGAGGCTCTGACCAGCCCGGCCCAGTCATCCTACAGAGAGGGTACAGGCTCGCCATCCCGCTGGACGCAGAGAAAGAGCTGGCACACTCCTGCCTGCTCAGGGGACTTGCCACCAGGTGAGCCCAGAGAGGGCACTTCCCTTGCCCAAAGCCACACAGCACACTGCCACACAGTCCCCTCCCCACCTACCAGAGGCCGAGGGCGGGAGATCGTTCCCAGCCCTGACCCCGCCACCCAACTGGGACCCAGTGACCCACGTACCTAGGAGCCATCCTGGCCACCAGCCCAGCTGCAGCACTGCCCAGATGAGTGGCCATGGAGCCCACGGGGTCCCCATGCCCCAAGCACCGGTGCACTGTCGACCTCCTCTCCTCTGCTCTAGCAGAGGTGCCTGAAGGAAGGAAACTGTTTCCCTCAGGCTGAAGGGACCCGCCCCGCCCACTCTTCCTCCTCCACACGGGGCGGGGTGGGGGTGGGGGGTGGAGAGAGAAATACCGAGAGAGGGAGAGAGGGGAAGGGGGGGGAGAGGGAAGGGGTGTTTGGGTGCTTCTCTCCCCAAAACCCTCGGCTCAGAGAGGGTAAGTGGCTCGAGGAAGGTCAGGAAGCTTCTCTGAGGCTCTCATGTGACTCCAGGCTGTCATTTGTCCTGGTTACTCTCCCCCAGAGAGGGTAAGTGGCTTGAGGAAGGTCAGGAAGCTCCTCTGAGCTCTCGTGTGGCTCCAGACTGTCATTTGTCCTGGTTACTCTCCGCCGTCACTAGCACAGGGCAAGGTGGGTGCGGCCTACTGCTGGGTTTGGGATATTTCATAAAATGCAAGAAACACATGTACATAAAGAGGGGTTTTCCAAGGGAATGACTAAAATAAGAAATACAGTGAATGAATTAGGAAGGAAGAAGACATGGAATAGAAGGTCCCCTGGGCCCGGAGCACCCGAGTCTGGATGGGAGCTTGAGGAGGACACCACATGGGACACGGCAGTGCTGTTGAGCCTGGGTCGCAGGTGGGGAAACTGAGGCACACTGAGTTTGAAAATCTCACCCAAGACACAGGCTAATGGCACCTGCAACTGGAGGGTCTGGCTGCGGAACCGTGTTTGCATTGCTCCCTGCTCTGGGAAGGGGTCCTGGCGGGGACTAGGCCATGGCACAGCCTCCTTGATGCCTCAGTTCCTCCTCCCAGGTAAAGGGCACCCCTTCTGCTCCCATGCCTGGAGTCCCCACAAGGCCCTCCACCAAGCACCTTTCAGCCACAGGTCCGTGGACCACTGACTCCAGCTTTGAGTTTCTCTGTTGACCTATGCCCAGGAGGAGAAGCTGGGCTGCCTGGTACCCCCATTGTCACCAAGCAGACCCTGCAGGGGCAGAGCAACCAAGAGCCCTCAGGCACCGGGACCCCAGGTGCCAGGGCACCCCCACCTCGTTTTGGTCCTTCCAGGTGTCCTCACCCCCCCATCCCAGAGAGGTCCAGAGGAAAGGCCCTTGGGCAGACGTGGGTGATCTACCTCCCCCCATTCCCCCGTGCAGTGCTGGCTGAGGATGGGATAGCCAGGAGGAGCCCCGTTCCCTGACCATCACACTTTGGCCACGGGCCTGCAGGGCTGTCCAGTGGACACTCCTACAGGGGTCTCAGAGCCAGGGCCCCCTCCCCAGAACCTGCTGTGGACGCTGTGGTCATACCCAGACTCTACACCCGGCAATCTCATCCAGAGACCTCAGGTGGGCTAGCCCNCTCATTTCTTCCTGTTCTGGGAATGACTGAAATAATAAATACAGTGTAAATTTTGGCTATCCAGGGTAATTTTTTTTCTTTATCTGTGGTTGCCTCTTTCTCTTTCCACAGGATGGAGCGGGTGGCTCTTTCCTCCCCTCCCAGCCATCCTCCTGTCCCTGGGAAGGTGGGCCACCCACTCCAGGCTGAGGTCCACCAGGCAACAGTGAAGGACAGACTCGGCCCAATGCTCACAGCCCACTAGCTCCTCTGTGGTGCCCTGAGGGCTGCAGTGTTTGAACCCAACAGCTCTGCCACTACTGGGGCCCCAGGGGAGTGCCTGGCCAGAGCTCTGCTGCCCTTACCCAGCCACCTTCCCTCTGGGCAGTGGGCAGTGGGCAGTGGGCAGCATGGACTGATCCTGCCAAGGGCTTGCCTGGCCCTCCTGCTCCTGGAGAGACACCCCCACCACATCCCCATCCCCTGCTGTAAGCCAGCAGCAGGGGGGCACCATGGCCTGGGTCAGGGGCATTTCTGCCAGGCTCACCTGAGACCCTTATCCTGTCCTCCCCCTTGCCCTCCCCGCCTCCATGGTGGCCTTGCTGCTGGCACTCTACTGAAGGACATTGGGTGCCTAGCATCCCCCTCTCAGCTCAGGCTTTCAGGGGGCCCCATGCCAGGCTGGGGACCCCCATTTCTAAATCTTTCCACTGTCAGCAGCTTCCTGACAGCCTGACCTGTCTGGGGCTGTCTGTGAGACAGACCTGCCATCCAGGCCTGACCTTGTCACAATCCCCTCGCGGCCCCCAGAGCTCCCTCAGGTTGGGGGTGGGGGTCCTGGTGTCTGCAGGGGGCTCTGGTCTGGTTGCCCAACCAGACAGCGAGACTTTTGTGAGATAGTTTTGCTCTAAGCATTTTATGATAATGAACGGAAAACAGGGCAAAAGAAACTGCTGATATTAGTGATGCAATGCGTAGGTCTCACCTGCTTAAAATAACCAGACAGAAACCCAGAAACCGCCTGGCAGCTGGCGCCACAGCCCGGCTCAGCCGATCAGGGTTCGCTGTGAAGGGAAACATTAAAGAACAGAAACGGTGGAAACAGCATCAAAGATGATGTCTGCAGGCGGAGCGAGCAGGAGGCTTCAGTCTAGAACAAAGGGCCACTCCCTGAGTGGGTGGCTGGAGGGCGAGGAGGCCCTGCGAGCCAGGATGGGCTACCCTGTGCCCCCCTCAGAGGACTGGCACTCTGGAGATGGGATGGGGCTTAGCCGGGGGCTGGGGGTAGAGCTAGGTCAGGTTAAGGGTCACCAGGTGTCCAGCCGGCAGGGGACCAGGGACTTCAGTTCTGTCTACCCTCTGTCCAGGACAGAATGGTTTTTTCCCATGGGGCTGGGCCCTGTGCTAGGGACAAGCTGTCCTCCCAGGACTTGTGCTGAGGGGATTGTGGGGGAGGGTGGGGCTGTGCTCTGGGTGGAAGAGACAGTCAGATCCATGGGGTTGTAGGACTTTTCCCCACCCCAGCAGCCCCCTTCCTGTGACTTTCTCTGCAAGAGCTTGGGCGTTTGTCCACAGGGGCCGAAAGTCAGGGATGAGTGAGTTTCTCCTGCCCACCTCCCTGGTCTCCGATTTGTTTTCCCCTCCCCCTCCTTCTTGTCCCCTCTCCCTTCACTCTTCTCCCCCCTATTCACCCCTTCCCCTCCCCTCCTCCCCTGATTTATCCCTCTGCCTTCCCTATAATCCTCCCCACCTCCAAAAGGTGGATCTGGGTGGGGGACACAGGAAGCTGAAAGGGGCACTTGGGTGCTGGGAGGTTCTAGATTGGCAGGCAAATTCCGGGGGGACCCAGAGACTGTGAAAGGAGGTGGGGACACAGGGCCTGGAAGAGCCTCACGCCCACCTGGGGTGGGCAGGACCAGCAGGATGAGTGGATCAGAGCCTGGGGAGGGGCCTGGCACAGGCAGGACAGGGACAAGAGGCCCAGGGAATCTTGGAATGATGCATGCCCAAGGTGAGCTCCCCACAGCTGATCAGCACACTGTTCCCCCAAACATGCACTGTCCTCTTCCGTCACCATCCCTTATTAGGGGCAGGACAGGGTCCCTGGTTGAAGAAACGTGGGAAGATCAGGGGCTCCTTGGCCCTGCTCCTGTGTACCCCGCTTGCTGGCCTCTCCTCCCTGCCTTGTGTCCTGGCTTCACCCCTCAGGTTTGGAAGGTTGCATCTGGGGTCACAGATAGGCTGGCCCATCTCTTTCCTTCACCTCTGACCCTCTCCAATAAGCAGATCCTGGGCAGGGTCGTCAGAGACAGCCCAGGACCCCAGCTCTGTGGGGTGTCCCCCGGAGAAGGGTGCATGTTGTTAGCAGGTCATCTTGGGTTCGTGTGGGTGTAAGAACTGACAGAGCCGACCCTGCACCCTCATCTCAGTGTCTTCAGTGACCCCTTTGTGCAAGCACCGTCCCTATCACAGTCAGAATGCTGGCATGGGCATGACCCCCTGATCTATTCAGAGCCTGTTTTAGGGACTTAATTTGTGTGTGTGTTTGCTGTACAGTGTCAGCCATGTGCAGGCTCCATCACCACAGAGTTCCTCCTGCCCAGAGTCCCTGTGGCCATCTGTCTCCTCTGTCTTCCACCTCTGTGACTTTCTCTGTTTCTGCATATAAATGAATGACTTGAGTGTAGCCTGTTGGGATGGGCCACGTGGCCTTTATCCCTGAGCACGTGTCCCCGTGGGCCCCTTTCAGGAGAGCAGAGCTCTGGGTGGCTGAATGGCTGCCTGGCCCTTTCTGTTGAGTTTTAGTGACCATGCCTGGGTGTGGTGTAAGTATTACTGTCAGCCTTTATCCCGGGAGTGGTCCCCTGGGCGCTGGTGCTGTGGTGTGCATGTTCCTGTACTTGTGGTGAACCCACTTTATCCGGTAACTGTGGCTGCCACCTGCGGGACCCACTGACGAAGTGCAGGAAGCGAGGGAAGCAAGGGGCCGAGGCGCTCTGCTCTCTGCAGGGCAGCACCCTTCCCTCTTGCAGTAGGGTCCTGGGGCTGAAAGAGTACCCATGGGACCCCCAGCCTTCCCCTTTGGGGACAGGCAGGCACTTTAGTGTTTCCAAGGCACCAGCCCCAGTGTGACTCGCACACATGGGAGCTAGAGGAGGGGAACATGAGCCAGCACAGATGGAAAGTGAGAGATAGGGGATCCCCCGTGCTCTCCAAAGGCAGTTTCCATTCACAGAGAAACACAGGAAGCAGGAGGATCATCCCGAAACTACTTCTGAGGAGCTGGTGGGGTGATGTCAGTGACCCTGTCCCCAACCTGTCCCCACCGGGTGGGACCTGCCACTGGCCGGCATATTCACAACTACTTCTGAGGTTGGAACAGGAAATGGTTAATAGTGTTTGCAAATAAAAACTTTCTGTTCTATCTTGTTTTTGAAGCATTTCCCAGAAGTTGAAAAAGGGTGCCTAATTTATCTGTACAATTCATGAACCAACATCTTTTTTAAAATTTCTTTATTATTGCTTATTAAGTACCAGCTTAATACTGCAGAAAATGTCACATCACAGCTTGACAACTCATCCTTTCCTCCCCCCAAATTCCTGATAATGAACTTTTCAAGCAAAGACATGTTCTCTTCTCTCTTCTGTATAAAACTTTGTGAAATAAAGGCAGACGTCTTGCTGTTAGATGCTGCCCATGGCTGTGGAAAGTGTCTGCCCAGCTCCCTTCACTGTCCAGGCCCTGAGAGACTATTGTTCATGAATTGTCTCCTCCGCCACTCCCCGGGTTCATCGTTCGGAGGGTCAGACGCTTCCTCACAAAGCTCAGTCTGGCCTCTTGCCGTAGCTGCTGTGAACAGGCCTCTTCGCGTGTCTTCCTGTTTGTGTGCAGGTCTGGCTACATTGTGTTAAGTGGAAAACCACACTCCCCAGGAACGGGAAAATGAGCGACTCCCGGGGTATAGCTTCTTGCTCGCCTTGGCTTTTGGAGTTTCTTTAGACACTCAGAAGTGTAGAGTTTTGTATACGAAGGTTCTATCAGCTTCATTCTTCAGAGAGAGAGGGAGCGCGAGAAACAGTGATGTGAGAGAGAACGTCAATTGATTGCCTTCCGTTTGTGCCCCAACTGGGGATCGAACCCACAACCTTTTGTTATATGGGATGATACCCCAACCAACTGAACCACACTGGCCAGGGGCAAGGAGCAGATTTTAAACAAATTAAATGAAATACTTTCACCATCAACTATGCACAAGAATAAAGGTAGCTGGCGGCCTGTTTGTTAGGGTGCTGGGGTCACAGGACACTCTCAGTCTTATTGTCTAAACGTTCTAGAACGCGGCTGGTAGTTTAAATGTGAATTCAGTTTAAATCTCCAAATGTGTGAGAACATCGACACACATGACGGTATTAGCTACAGACAGGACAGGGAGAGGGAGAGGAGCAGTGAACTGATAGACAATGAGAAGAAATTGTTCAGAATGCGGGAGCGCGAGGCAGAGTCGGAGACATTCGCCTGGATCCTGTGTGGAGGGTGGGGCATGGGGGTCTGTCCTGAGGTCTCGATTTACTTCTGCACCCTCCCTGCAGCCCCATGGTCCTATGTTAGTGGCCCCTCATCCAGCTCCTCAAATCACCAGTCCGAGCCTGGCACCCCTCTGACCGATGTCCCTCCAGTCCTCCCCTCTTGCGCTGACCTGTGTGGATTAATTATTTTGTGACTCCACCCTCATCCTCCCACAAGTCTGGGTGCCACACTCTCATTTCTGTTATTTTGTTGGTATCTTCCAGCCCCTCCCCGCTCTGCCTGACTGCTGCCCTTTCTTTCCTCAACTCACTTTTCCTCATTATACCCAACAAACCACTGTGCTCCTGAAGCTCAAACTGAAAACTGAAAAGGCAAAGGTGGGAGAGGCCAGACACACGTGCACAGAAAGCCCAGAGCAGCTCCAACGGTGCTGTGAGTGTGGCTGGCAGGCGGTCCCAGCCACAGGAGCAGAACTCCAAGGCTATGGCTTCTCTTAAGTGCTGACCTAACACTTTATAAAAGTTCATGAAGGTGTGCATTTATGCTTTGGGCATTTTTACGTAAATGTTGCACATTTCTAGCCAGTAAAAAGTTAGAAAAATGGGCATTTTTACGTAAATGTTGCACATTTCTAGCCAGTAAAAAGTTAGAAAAATGTTGCAATGATACATGTTTTGGAAAGGTGTTCACAGCTTTGTTTGTAATGACAAAGAGCCGCCAAGCAGAGGCAGAGGCAGGTCCGTCATGGTAGAGCCTGGCAGTGAGCTTGGTACACTGTCCTTGATACAGGGTGTGTGGAACGCCAGGCACAGCATGACCGGATTAGTATGGTTTCCCATCTGTGAAGAATACATACGAGTATTAACATGTACACATGCAAGGGAACATGCATGGACGTCAGCACCGATGAGCTCTGTGGGATGGGGGATGGGCAATTTCATCACATTGGGTTTTTTCTCTTTGTTTAAAATTTTTCCTACAAAAGAAAATATATTGCTTGCATAACAAATATTCAAAAGGATAAGAAAAAGCCCCGTCTCTTGTGTGTCTGAGATGAGCCGGTTGCCGTAGAGACTGGATGGTTGTCAAGGCAGCGATTGGATGGGCAGGTGGGCCTGTGGGTGCTTCCTGGGAGCTGGAGCTGGTGCAGCTCTCAGTCCGCTTTGAGGGAGACTGGCGCCAGCATGGATGGGGTGGACATGTGGGTCAGCACCTTAGCCCAGCTGATGGCCAAGTGGAAACTGGAGGACACCTGGGAGCTGGTCCTTGAGGAGAACCTGGCCTCTGGGCACCTGGACAGTGGTGGTTTCCAGTACTAGCTGAGGGGGCTTTCCAGGTGTGGTGAAGGGTAGGGGCCTCCTGCCGGGTCCTGGAAAGGGAGGGGGCTGAAGGCTGCTGGGCCACAGACCCTAGGCTGGCCCTGAGTCCCAAGACCGGTCTGGGTGTGTCTTGACCCCTGAGGGATGGGGACAGGGACATGTGTCTGGCCCGGCCCTGTCCTCCAACAGGTGGTCTTGGTGCTTGTGCTCCTGTCTGGGAAGTAGGGGGCAACCCCTGCCCAGTCCACTTTATTGGCAACCTCAGACCCTGCTTGGCATGGGGGTACCCCTGGAGCCCAGGTGGAGCCTTGCCCAGGTGGGGGGCCAGTGGGAAGACGCAGCCACCCAGGAAGGTAGGGCTTTGTCTGCTTCCTGAGGCCTCTCCTCGTTTCCATGGCAGTGCTGATGGGAGCAGGGTATGGGCAGGGCCATGGTCACCACAGCTCTCCACTGAGCCAGGCCTCGGACTGGGAAGCTGAGGGGTGCACGGAGGCGGTGTATTCAAGACAAGGAGCACCTGTGCCCACCTGGGCTATGGGCCCGTGGGAGCCCGGTGGCCTTGGCTCACTAAGTGAGCCTCTGTCTCCATTGTCATGACGACAGCCCTGTCAATACAGTGGGACCACCCAGACCTGCAGGGTCCCACCTAGCCAGGCACCCTCAGGCGGGCTGGGAAGGGGTGCCGTAGGGACCTGCAGGCCAAGCAGGTGGTGGAATCCTGGCTTTCTAGGTCTAAGAAGCACCTTTAAACACCTGGTATTCACACAGCCAAAGTGAAGAACTGCTTTGGGCAGGCAGGTAAGGGCTGGGATCTGCTGAGCTGGTTTTCCATTTTCATATAGAGACACCAGGTGGTGGACAGTCACACACACAGACCTATGTTCTGCAGCACAGCCGTCAGTGGCCAAGCGCTGCCTGTGAAGTGCTCATTAGTTAAATTTAGATAAAGGTGGGCGGTTGGCTCCTCAGGGCACTCTCCACGTGCAGGTATCCATGGCCACTGTGATACTGACGCAGAGTAATGCTACTGTCACGGAAAGTTCCATCGATGCCCCGGAGGGCTTCCCGGGAAACATGAGGGGCGACCTCACACCCAAGCCAGTTCCCACACCTGTGTGTATGTGCTTCACAGGGGTCACTCATCTGGGACCCGAGGGCCCACCTACCTGGCTCCAGGGCCACGTGGCCTCAGAGGGCCTGTGCCACCAGCCCCTTCACTGCCCAGGGAGCTGAGCAGCTGCTTCTCCTCCATGCAGGGGGTGGGGCAGGGTCCCCTACTAGCATGCTCAAAGCCAGTGTTGCATCGGTGCAGGGTGCACCCTGTCATCAAGAACCCCTGCTTCCCTGCTCTCCCCACACTTCTGTGTCTCCCACACTGTCCCCATCACCCAACCTTAGCCTCCACTGTTTACCTCTTTCCCGTGGGTGGGCTCCTCCCTCCCAGCACCCACTGCCACAGGCACCTTCTCCCTCTCCAGGACCCACAGGGCTGTCTTTGGCTTTTGGTAACATTTCCTCAGAGCAATGAAGCCCTGAGTCACAAAGTGACAGAAAAGCAGCAGAGAGTTAGGCCAGGCTCGGCCTCCCAGTGTGTTTCTGTGCCAATTTGATGGAAAGGTATTTGCTTTTCAGACTGGGTTGTAGGCAAGGGCTGTGCATCTGCATCCTGTCCCTGTACAGATGGGTGCTCAAGGTCATGGAGCTCATGCTGGGCCCCTGTCTGTGCTCACATGACCGAGGTGTGGGGCACGGCGGCAGGTACCCTGTCTCTTCTACTCACTGCTGCCTCTCCTCCCCAGGCTGCAGTGCCACCGCTACCAGTGGGGCTGGTCCTCCACTCACGTGCACATCCTGTTCCATGTGCGGTGGGATGAGGACAGCCACCAGTGCCCTGAGGTCTGCTTTGGGGACCACTGTGAAGCCTGATACCTGAGTGTCTGCTTCTTCCAGAAGCCCCACACCCCACCTGGAGACCCAAGGCCAGGAGCCCCAGCACCATCCAGGCCATGCCAGCCCTGGGCAGCAGCTCTGTGGACAATCGCTCCCTGAGCTCTGTCCCCCCCTCCGTGTCTGACCCCTCTCTGAGAGCAACCACTTCTTCAGTGAGGACATGGACATCATCACTGTCCCTTTCCCCTGGTGCGTGTGGGCAGGGACAAGGGTTGTGCTGCCCTGGAGAGGGCCACCTCAGCAAGGCTGGTCCCCAGGGGCTGCCAATAATCAAGGGGGGCTCTGCCGACCAGCCTGCCAATCTCAGGGCCTCACCCACCAGCCTGGGTGCCCTGGTCAACATGGAAGCCCCCATCCTCCATGGCAAAGGCCACCTGCTCAGCAGCATCAAGCCTTCCCAGGATGGGAACAGGCTCTGGGTGAGGAGGTGCCAGTCCAGGGGGGAGGACTTCTTGGGAGGACAGTGCTGTTGCTGGCCGAGCTTTGATCCCTGTGAAGGCCTGGATCTGGGTGTGCATGGCTGCCTTCCTCTGGACGCTGTGCCTGTAAACATCCTGACAGCTCCCAGAAGCGTGTCTGAGGTGTGCCACCTCCCTTCTGGGTCCCCACCTTGCCTCTCCCTCCCGCTGGGCTGCCCAGACACAAAGCAAAGTACCGCTGGCCTGCTGGCCCCCAACCTGCCCTGCCAGCCCTGCCCTGT